GCGAACCGCAAGGACGGCGGCGGCGCGGGCGAGCACGCGGGCGGCGACTTCCCGCCGCCCTTCCAGCTCAAGGAGCCGGGCAACTTCCACGCGTCCATCGACGACCGGAAGGCGGCGGCGGAGAAGGCGCTGAGCCTCCTGCGGCTCAAAATCGCCGGCCCCGTGACCATGGTCCTCGACTCCATGGACGACGCGCTCGAGGCGGCCTACGAGACGCGGCCCTGGCGCGTCTACGTCGTCGAGGTGGCCACGGGCGCGATCGCCTACGCGTCGGGCCCGGGGCCGATGAACCTGCCGGGCAAGCTCGCCGACCTCGAGGCGTTCTTCGCGGCGACCAAGTAAATGTGTGTCTAGAATGGTATGTAAAATCAGACGGGCTAAACGGCGGCTCAGTCCTCCTTGATGCAGAGGAGCGTCTTGAGCCGCGTCTTCGCGACGGGCGACATGGGCGCCGTGAGCGTGATGGCGCCGAAGGCCCGGCTCGTCGTGTCCGCGTGCGTCGGGAAGTCGAGGTTCCGGAAGCCCGACGCCGCCATGGACCGCGCGCGCTCCTCGGAGCGCTGGCCCATGGTCATCTGGAGCGTGCGGCGCGTGCGCTCGCGCGTCGCCGTCTGGGCCCGGCGCGTCGTCGCGAGCGGGGGCACGTTCGGCGCCCGGGGCACGCCGTGCGCGGGCGGCGTCTTCGACCGCCGCATCCGCGAGAACGCCGCCGACGAGTCCGTCTCGAAGAGGTAGAGGTAGGGCCGCTCCTGGCGGCCCCAGGCGCGGCGGCTCGCCGCCTCCGTCGGCGTCACGGGCCGCGTGCCCTTGAGCGGGCCGCGCCACCGCTGGCCGTCGTCGCCCGTGATGGAGCACTGGCGGGGCTGCCAGACGGGCTGGGCGAGCATGGACCGCGGGTTCATGACGCTCGGGCTGCTCCGGTTCGCCGCGTTCGGCACGCGGCGGCTCATGGCGGCGGCGAAGCGTCCGTGTCGCGTCGGCCTTCACTCCGCGAGCATCTGGGCCCTGACACGGGGGCGGCGCTCTCTCGACGAGAATTTCGTTATCACTCGGCCGCCGGCAGATTGTGTGTCGTCAACGTGATGCCGCCGTGCAGCTCGAGTCGAGCAATGGTGACGCTCTCGCACCCAGCAATGCGAGCAACACGTGCGGCAATGCGCGGCGCAGCGCGCTCCATAAGCACGGCCGTCGTCGGCGCCGGCAACATGGGCCGCGGCGTCGCCTGGAGCCTCGCGCGCGCGGGCCACGACGTCGCCATCTACGACGTCGACGCCAGCGCCGCGGCGGCCTGCGCGTCCGCCGACGACGCCCAGGGCCGCGTGTCCGCCGCGCCGACCGTCGCGGCGGCCGTCGACGGCGCGGCGGCCGTGCTCGTGTCCGTGTCCAACGAGGCCGCGGAGCGCGCGGTCTTCGACGAGGTGCTGCCGGCGTGCGCGGCGAAACCCGTCGTGCTCAACCTCGGCACGACGTCCGTCGCCTTCGCGCGGGAGCTCCACGCGCGCTTTGCGGGCGTCCCATTCCTCGACGCGCCGGTGTCCGGCGGGCCCGAGGGCGCGAGGAGCGGCGCGCTGGCGGTCATGTGCGGCGGCGAAGAGGCGTCGTTCGCCGCGGCCGCGGAGGTCCTCGACGCCATCGGCGGCCGGAGCGTCCTGCTGGGCGGGCCGGGCGCCGGCGCCGGCGCGAAGCTCGTGAACCAGCTGCTGGCCGCGGCGAACGCGCACGCCGCCGCGGAGGCGCTCGCGCTGGCGAGAGAGCTCGGCTGCGACTTGGAAACGCTGCTCCCGCTCCTCGACGTCGCCTGGGCCCAGTCGACGATGCTCGCGCGCAGCGGCGGCATCCTGCGAAGCCGCGGCGACGCGGAGTCGCTCAAGTTCGAGGTCTCCGCGGCGCCGCTGCGGAACTTCGCCAAGGACTTGGACCTGGTGCTCGACGCGGGCGCGGCGTGCCGCGTCGCGCTGCCGAGCGCGGCCCTCGCGCGCGGCACCGTGGCGCGGGGCCTCGCGGGCGGCTACGGCGACGCGGACTGGGCCGCCGTCGCGGGGACGTTCGGCGAGGTGTCCAAGGCCTCGCTCGAGCGCGACGCGGAAAAGTTGTGGGCGCCGGCCGCCGAGGCCGCGGACGTCGCGCGCGCGCGCATCGCGGCACTCGTGGCCCGCGAGCCGCCGCTCTGCGTCGTCGACGACGATCCGACGGGCACGCAGACGGTGCACGGCGTGGCGGTGTCGTCGAAGTGGGGCGCCGCGGACCTCGCGCGCGAACTCGCGGACGACGCCAAGTCGTGCTTCTACCTGCTGGCGAACACGCGGGCTTTAGATGAAACCGACGCCGTCGCCCGCGCCGAGGCCATCGGCGCCGGTCTGAGACCGCACGGCCCCGCGCACGTCGTCTCGCGGAGCGACTCGACGCTCCGCGGCCACTTCCCCGCCGAGGTCGACGCGCTCGCGCGGGGCCTGGGCTGGGACGACCCCATCATCTTCGTCGCGCCCGTCTTCTTCGAAGGGGGGCGCGTGACGTCCGGCGGCACGCACTACGTCCTCGGGCCGCCGAATTCGGGCGGCGACCGGCCCGCGACGCGGGCCGGAGAGACGGAATTCGCGCGCGACGCGGCCTTCGGCTACCGGCGGAGCGACCTGCGCGACTGGGTCGCGGAGAAGACGGACGGCGCCATCCCCGCGGCGTCCGTGACGTCGCTCGACCTCGCGACGATCCGCCGGGGCGCGGACGCGGTCAAGGCTCTGGTGCTACGAACGATCGAGGCGTCCAACGGCCGCGTCGTCTTCGCCGTCGACGCCTTGGAGGAGCGCGACGCGCTCCTCGTCGCCCTGGGCGTCCACGAGGCGCGCGCGGCGCGGCCGGAGCTCTTTTCGCGGGGCGTGGTCTACCGCTGCGCGGGTTCGTTGGTCGCGGCGCTGACGGCGATGCCGCAGAAGCCGCTCTTGGCCGCGTCCGAGCTCGCGTCGCCGGGCGCGTCGTCCCCGGGCGGGCTCGTCGTCGTCGGCAGCTACGTCGGCAAGACGACGGCGCAGCTCGAGGCGTTGAAGGCGCGGTGCGCCTGGCTCGACTTCGTCGAGGTCGACGTCGGCGCATTGCTGCGCGAGGGCGACGCGTACGTGCGCGCGGTCGCGACGCGCGTCGACGTTTCGCTCGAAAGCGGCGGCAGCGTCGCCCTCTACACGTCGCGGGCCAAGGTCCAGGACGACGGCGCGGGCGGTTTGGTCATCGGCGAGACGGTGAACAAAGCCTTATGCGACGTCGTCGCGCGCGCGGCCGCGCGAAACCCGGCGTTCGTCGTCGCCAAGGGGGGCATCACGTCCAACGACGTCGCCGTGCGCGCCCTCGGCGTCGAGCGGGCCGAGGTGCTCGGGCAGGTCGTGCCGGGCGTGCCGGCGTGGCGCCTCGGCGGCGAGACTAGGCTGCCCGGGTCGGCCTACGTCGTCTTCCCGGGCAACGTCGGCGACGACGGCGACCTCGCGCGCGTCGTCGAGACCGTGGCGGGCCGGTCGTCGTTGCCGGGGCCGCGGGGGCCGGCCCGCCCGAGCTGCCGCGATCTATTGCGCGACGCCGCGGCCGCCGGCGCGGCCGTCGGCGCGTTCAACGTCTACAACGTCGAGGGCGCCATCGCCGTGAAGCGCGCCGTCGTCGCCGCGGGCAGGCCCGCCATCGTGCAGCTCCACCCGGCGTCGCTCGACTTTGGGGGCGCGGCGCTCCTCGCGGCGTGCGCCGCCGTCGCCGACGACTGTTTCCGCGAGAGCGGCGTGCCCATGCTCGTCGCGCTCGACCACGCCGCCGACGACGTTGCCATCGACCTGGCCCTGGCTTCGGGCGTCGACCACGTCATGGCCGACGGCGCGGAGCTGTCCCTCGAGGACAACGAGCGGTGGACGCGGGGCGTCGTCGAGCGCGCGGCGGCCGCGGGCGCGACGGTGGAGGCGGAGCTCGGCAAGCTCGCCGGCGAGGAGGACGGCCTGGCCGTGGACCTGCGGGACGCGAAGATGACGGACCCCGCCGTCGTCGCGAAGTTCCTCGCGGCGACGGGCGTCGAGGCGCTCGCCGTGACCGTGGGCAACGTCCACGGCCGCTACGCGAAGAGCCCGCCGGACCTCGACTGGGCGCGCCTCGACGCCGTCCGCGGGGAGGCCGGCGGCGTGCCCCTCGTGCTCCACGGCGCGTCGGGCCTCCCGGAGGACTACCTCCGGCGCGCGCGCGCCGCGGGCGTCGCCAAGTTCAACGTCAACACGGAGGTCCGCGCGGCGGCCGTCCGCGCGACGGCCGACGCCGCGGCGCGGCGCCTCGACGTCCTCGACACCATGCGCGACGCGACGGACGCCATGGCCCGCGTCGTCGAGGCGAAGATCCGCGCCTTCGCCGATTAACGGAGCCTTCTTGCCGTCGCAGCTCGGCGCGGCCCATCCGCGACCCACCGGCGCTTAGAGGGCGCCGGCTACGAATCTCCCACTGGTGATCGGCCACCGGCGCTTAGGGCCGCCCAGCCTAGCCCTTGTACGCGCGGACGGACACGATGAGGCCCGCGGCGTCGAAGGTGATGACGTCCGTGACCTTGAGCTTGTCGTCGGGCACGTTCACGATGATCTCCGCGATGGCGCTCAGCGTCGACTCGGAGACGTGGACCTTGAGCACGTCAATGGAGATGGTCGGCACGGCCTCGAAGATGCCGCCGTTCGCCGCGACGACGTCCTCCGCGCCGGCCTTCTCGACGTCCCAGTCGCGGAGCGTCGCCGCGTCCGCGAAGAGCTTGCGCAGCTCGACCTGCGAACGCGCGCGTCCAGGCGCGCGAACAAGAACGCTCCCGTCGCTCGACGCGGCGCGCGACGAGGTCCTTGGCGTTCCAGACTTCAAAGTACTTGGCCGTGAGGGCGGCGTAGTCGAGGCTCATCGTTGTGGTGGAGTGCGGTGCGACGAGGTTGGTGTTTGTGCCCAGGGCGAGGGTCGTGGCGACGGCGACGAAGAAGAGGAGCGCGAAGATGCGCGCGACGTGCTCCTTGGCGGCCGCAATGGTCGTCGGCGGCAGGGCTGCACGGATGGGCAGCATTGGCCGGTGCCGCGTATCGCGCCGTGATCGAAAGCGTCGTCTGTCCTCACCTCGCGTCGGCGCCGCGCGACGAGCGCGCGTGTTGTGAGACCCCGAGGCCGCTCAATTTGGCTGCGGACGGGCGCCCCGGACGCCGGCTGGATTCGCGCGGACGCCCGGACGCCGCCATGTCGAAACGCGACTACGATCACCTGTTCAAGCTCGTGCTCATCGGAGACACGGGCGTGGGCAAGTCCTGTCTTTTGCTCCGCTTCGCCGACGACGCCTTCACGGAGAGCTACATCTCGACGATCGGCGTCGACTTCCGCTTCCGCACGGTCAAGGTAGACGGCGCGCGCCGGCGCGTCGAGAAACCGCCGCGGCCGCTCGCCCGCGCGCGCCGCGCGCGCGCCGCCCGCCCTCGCGCCGCGCCGCCCGCCGCGCCGCGTCGCCGGTGCGCCTCGAGAAACCGCCGCGGCCGCTCGCCCGCGCGCGCCGCGCGCGCGCCGCCCGCCCTCGCGCCGCGTCCGCCCACCGCGCCGCGTCGCAGGCAAGACGGTGAAGCTGCAGATCTGGGACACGGCGGGCCAGGAGCGGTTCCGGACGATCACGAGCGCCTACTACCGCGGCGCCGACGGCATCATCATGGTCTACGACGTGACGTCGAGCGAGTCCTTCGACCACGTCAGCGACTGGCTCACGGAGGTGAACCGCTACGCCAACGAGGGCACGTGCAAGCTCCTCGTGGGCAACAAATGCGACATGGAGGACAAGGTCGTCACGACCGAGGCGGCCAAGGAGTACGCCGACGGCCTCGGCATCCCCTTCCTCGAGACGTCGGCGAAGAACGCGACGAACGTCGAGGAGGCCTTCCTCACCATGGCCGGCGAGCTCATCCGCCTCCGCGAGGCGAGCCAGAGCGCGAAGCCCGGCGCCGGCGGCGCGTCGGGCCTCAAGCTCTCCGGCGGCAGCTCGAGGACGAAGAAGTGCTGTCCCGCCTAGGCCGCCGCCGCGCGCCCCGCCCCGGCGCCCCCGCGCCCACGACGGCAGACTAGACCTAACCCGCCCGGGCCCAAACATCGGACTGGGGACGGATGCGGTGCGGCCTCGCGCGGCGCCGGCTCGGAAGCAGCCTTTCTGCGCCCCGACGACGTCCGGCGGGAGGACGTCGACCCCGCGGGCCGCTATAGCTAAGCTTTCGAAACAGACGCCCATTAAAAGCGCGCGAGCCCCCCCCCCCTTCAGAACTCCTCGACGCCCTCGACCTTGAGGGAGATGAGGTTGTCCTCCGCGGCCGAGTCGGGGTCGCCGCGGCTCGTCTGGCCGAAGGCCACGTCCGTTTCATCCATCTCCTCCTTGGTCTCCTGGCCGCCGACCCAGAGCCCCTTGTCGTCGCCGGAGCCGCCCTTCTCCGTCATCTCGGTCTCGCGCTGCTCGAGGCCGTGCTCGAGGGGCTTGAGGTGGTGGAGGTAGTAGATGATGCCCGCCAGCGCGAGCGCGACGCAGATGACGGGCACGACGATGACGACGCTCGCCTCGGTGTAGTCGTCGTCGCCGCCCGACGTCTTCTGCGCGTCGGGGTCCGCCAGGGGCGCGCGCGTGGGCTTGGGCCTCCAGTCGGCCGAGGGGCCCGGCGTGGGCACCGCCGACGGGTCCAGCGTCGGCATGAGGGCCGGCTCCGCCGTCGGCGACGCCGTCGGCTGGTAGCTCGGCTTGTCCGTGTCGACCGTCGGCCGCGGCGTCGGCTTCGGCGTCGGGTCCGGGCTCGGCACGGGCGACGTCGACGGCGGCGCCGTGGGCACGGGCGACGGCTCGACGGACGGCGCGGGCGTCGGGCAGTAGGACGGCGGCGCGGACACGGACGGCGCGTGCGTCGGCCGCGGCGTCGGCGGCCAGCTCAGCGTCGGCGCGCGCGTGCCGTCCCACGACGGCACGGGCGACGGGTCCGACGTCGGCACGGCCGACGGCGCGCCCGTCGCCAGCACCTCGAAGTGCATCTCCTCCTCGATGGCCGCCAGGGACAGGTCCTGGTCCACGGCCGCGGCCTCGAGCGCCGTGCCGTCCGCGTGGTCCTCGATGGCGACGGAGAGCGCGGAGTCCGCGCCGCCCATGACCGCCGCCTCGAGCTCGCGCTCCATCTGCTCCCCGATGGCCGCGGACCCGTAGAGGGACTGCATGCTGTACTCGACGTCGAACTCGACCTGGACCTTGTGCGTCTTCTCGTCGTCGTCGCCCGCGAGGCGCCGCGGCGGCGGCCCGACGAGCCGCCGCCGCGCGGCGGCCTTGGCGGACCCGGGGATGCGCAGCTCCCGGCGCCGGCCGCAGTACTTCCACTCGCCGTCGTCGTTGACGACGCACCAGGGCCCGTTCTCGTCGCCGTCGCACGCCTCGTCTGGGCAGAACGACAACAAATCGCCGCAGCCCCGCTGCTCCTTGGACCAGTAGGCCATGCAGTTGCCCGTCTCGACGAAGCCGTCCAAAACGTGGTAGCCGACGGCCGTGATGCGCACCGCGTCCGGCGACACGATGGACTCGCACGTCTCGAAGAGCGCGTAGCGGATCGCCGCCTCCTCGCGCGCGCCGAACTGGTCCGTCGACGGCGCGTCGAGGACGACCGCGGACGAGTAGGCGACGTCCTCGGACCCGGTGTAGGTCGTGTCCGTGACGTTGGCGGCGTCCAAACAGTCGCAGCCGTCGCACGCGCAGCCGAATTCCGATTTCACGAAATCGCAGGATGCCGGCGCGTGGGCCTCGCAGGAGAAGCCGAGGCAGATGTCGACGCAGGCGTAGTTGCCGCCGTGGGTCTTCGGGAGCGTGAAGAGTGCGTCGACGACGTGGAGCACGCCGTTCTCCGCCGCGAGGTCCGCGACGGTCACCGTCGCGTTGTCGACGACCACGGACACGCCGTCGACGGCCGCGGTCACGGGCCAGCCCGCGAGCGTCTTCACGGAGGCGCCGTCGGACACGTCCGCCGCGTACAAGACCTTCGGGAGCACGTGGTACTTCAGCAGCGTCGCGAGCTCGCCGTCGCGCTCGGGCCGGAGCAGCTCGCGCAGCCCCCGCTCGCCGAGCGCGGCGTAGAAGGCGCGGTCCGTCGGCGCGAAGAGCGTGTAGGCGCCCGACGCGTCGAGGGGCGCGTCCAGACCCGTGAACTCGAGCGCGGCGACGAGGAGCGTGTGGTTCGGCGACGACCGCGCGACGTCCAACAAGCTGTAGATGGGCAGCACGGACGGCGCCATCGTCGAGCTCGGCGCGCCCGTGCCGCCCGTCGAGGGGAGGAGCACGGCGTCGACGGCGTGGGCGACGCCGTTCGCCGCGAAGAGGTCCGCCGCGGTGACGTTCGCCCGCCCGTCCACGGCGACGCGGTCCTCGAGGAGTTCCACGGTCAGCGCCTCGCCGTCGAGGAGCGTGTAGTAGCCGCCGTCGCTCAGCTCCGCCGCCGGCAGCTCGAAGCCGAGCACGTGGTAGAGCAGCACGTTCCGCAGCTGGTCGACGCGCCGCTCCTCCAGCAGCTTCTCGAGCACGGCCTCGTCCAACGCCGCGAAGGCGTCGTCGTCCGGCGCGAAGATCGTGTAGGCGCCCGGCGCGTCCAGCACGTCGTAGAGCCCCGCGATCTCGAGCGCCGCGAGGAGCATCGTGTGGTTGCCCCCCGTCTCGAGTGCGCGCGCGAGCGAGTCGTAGGCCGCCGTCGGCGCCGCCGTCGGGGCCGGGTCGCCCGGCGGCAGGAGCACGGCGTCGACGACGTGGACGACGCCGTTGGACGCCATGAGGTCCGCGACCAACACCGTCGCGTTGTCGACGCTATAGGAGCCGTTGCGGACCGCGACGGCCGCGGGCTCGCCGAGCACGGTGACGAGCTCGTCGCCGTCCTCCAAATCCGCCGCGAGCGTGCGGCCGAGGACGACGTGGTAGAGCAAGATCTCCGCGAGGTCGTCCGCGGGGAGGGCCGCGACGTCGACGCCGAGCGCCGCGAACGCCGCGTCGACGGGCGCGAAGACCGTGTAGGTCGACGCCGGGTCCTCGAGGACGCCCGTCAGGCCCGCGGCCTCGATGGCCGCCGCGAGGAGCGCGTGGTCCGGCGACGACCTGATCACGTCCACGACGTTGCCGACGTAGCCGTCGGGAATCGCGTAGAGCGTCCCGTTCGTGCCGTTCGTGCCGTTGGTCCCGTTGAGGAACTCGGCGTCGGCGAGGCGCCGGCCCATCGCGCCGCAGCTGCAGCCGGCGCAGGCGCAGCCGAACTCCTCGGCGGCGACCTGGCACGTCGCGGGCGAGTAGCGGTCGCAGCTCAGGCCCTCGCAGACGGCCGCGCACGCGAGGGGCGCGCCGGGCCGTCGTCCCTCGCAGGCGCAGCCTCCGGCGCAGGCGCAGCCGTGGCTCGCCCGGGCGGACACGCAGCGCGCTTCGTCGTAGGCGTCGCAGCTCAGGCCGCGGCACACGTCATCGCAGGCGCCCGCGTCGGCGCACCACCGGGACGGCGCGAAGCACGAGGCGAGCCACAGGGCCGCCGCCCGCCGCATGGACGACGGACGCCCGACGCACCGCCCCCGACGTCTCTCACCAGGGCCGGCCGCAACGTTGGAAGGAAAGAGGCGGGGCGTGTGGGGCAGCAGAAGCCGAGTTTTTTGCCTTGTAAAGGGAAACGAAAGGATACGGCGTCCATACTTCGTAACTGCCATTCAATTATGCACGTTTCCGGTGTTGAAGGGATCCTCAATCTTACTTGCTTCTCGAGAAGATCGACCGGCCGCACGAGGCAGGCCACTTGCGCATTCCCAAGGTGCCTGCGCCTGCGCAGCCCCCCCCCGTCGGGCTGCAGGGAGCGGGGATGGGCGGCGACGAGTGGTGGCTCGGGAGGGAGCTGCGGGCGCTCCTGGAAGCGCGGGCGGCGGAGAAGGCGGAGCAGTGCTGCGAGAAGGCGGCGTGCCCGACGGCCCCCGATGCGCCGGAGAAGGCGGAGAAGGGCCCGCCCGCCCCGGCGCCGGTCCGCGCGTCGGCGGCGCGGCGCGCGCCCGGCGCGCCGTGGGACGACGTCGACGACGCGCTCGAGGCCGCGGCCGCGCGGAGCCGCTGGCTGTCGCCCGCGCAGGCGTTCGCGCTCCTGCGCGCCGAGCGCGGCCGCGACGCGCGCCTCGCGGCGCTGCCCGTGCGGGACACGGCGTCGCCCGCCGAGGCGAGCGCGGCCGCGTGCTACGTCGTGCGGAAGCGGCCCAAGGCGGAAGGCCCGCGCCAGCTCGCGGCGCCGGGCGCGGCGCAGGTGCCCGCGACGTCCCAGGGCCTCGTGCGCCCGGTGCCCGTGACGTTCCAGTCGGTGGTCAACTCCTACGTCCACTGGCTCGAGGAGCACCCGACGATCGGCGTCGCCGTCTGCCAGATGTCGCGGAGCAAGCGGAAGCCGTACCGGTCCCGGGAGCGCAAGGAGCTCCTCGAGGACGGCTACGACGAGTCGCAGGATCGCATCGTCTCCCACGGCCTCACGGGCCGCATGTACAAGCTCGTCGTCCGCGGCCAGTCGCCGAAGCCGGACGCGCCCGGCGAGGCGCCGGCGGCGGCGCCGCCGGAGCTGCCCGCGGGCCCGCGCGTCCGCTGCGAGAAGAAGCCCACCCGCGGCGGCGCGTTAGAGGCGCTCGAGGGCAGCAGCATCGTCCAGATCTTCATCGACGAGGCCGCGGCGCGCTTCCTCGGGCCCGCCCGTTCCCGCCCGGCCGCCCGCCCGTTCCGGCCGCCGCCGCCCGCGGACTACCCGACGCCGCGGCGCTTTGCCGTGCCCGCGGGGGCGTCCTACGGCGGCCTGGGCTACGGCTACGACGGCCCGCGCCTCGCGGCCTACTACGCGGCGCACTTCCCCTACTCGCGGCGCGCCGCCGCGCCGCGGCCCGACGGCGCCGAGGCGCTCCGCGCCGCGCGCGCCGCCGACGAGCCCCGGCGGCGCACCTTCGACGGCGCGACGACGTTCAGCCGCGACCCCAACGACGTGGCGCGGCACATCTTCGAGGGCGCGCCGGCGCTCGGCCGCGACCCCAGCAACGCGGCGCGGCACACCTTCGACGGCGCGCCGGCGCCGCCGCGCCACCCGGCGTACGCGGGCCGCGCCGCGAGCGAGCCGCGCGGCGCCCTCGACCCCAACAACCTGGCGCGGCACACCTTCGACGGCGCGCCGGCGCAGTCCCACCCGGTGTTCTTCGACGGCGCTCCGCCGCGGTCCCGCCACCCCGCGTACCCGTACGAGCGCCGCGGCGCGGACCCCGTCTGCCTTTTTTTCGACGGCGCGCCGAAGCGGCGCCGCGCGGAGGAGCGCGCGCCCTCCGACGCGCCGCCGCCGGCGCACGCGCGCGTCGCCGGGTCGCCGGGCGACCCGTTCAGCCCCCGGATGAAGCCCTACGCGCGCTTCTGGACGCTCCCGAGCGACGACGACGTCGCGGGACCCGACGAAAGTTACCGGGTCCGCGGCGACCTCGACGTCGACGGCGGCGGCGTCCAGCGGCCCTCCGCGCCGCCCTACGCGCCCCAGCCCGCGGCCTGCTACTCGCACCCCTACGTCGTCCACCGGCCGGGCATCATCTCGCAGGTGCCCCTCCGGCCCGGCGACCCCGCGGGCCAAGCGGCGGCCGGCGACGACGGCAGCCCGTCCTTGTCCCAGCTCGGCGACGCGAGCTTCAGCTCTTTGCCCTCCTTCTCCCACCTCGGCGACGACTCGTTGCTGAAGGCCGACGCGATCGACGGGGTACTCAGGTCCCTGAAAAAGCCTTTCAAAAAGGACGTTTCGAACCGCGCGGAGTAGACGGCCGCGCGGCGCTCCGACTACCTCGGCGGGCCGAAAAGGCCTCGCCCTGCGCTTCTCTCCAAAACTTCAGAGAGAAGGCCTCTCGAGAAGGCCTCTCTCCAAAACTTCTCGATCTCGGATGGGCAAAACCCGTCCGTCTCTTCTCACTCCTGATCATCTTGCTCCAAAGCTCTCCCTTGCCGCGCGCCGCGCCGCACATCAAAACGACCGAGGCGGGACAACCCCGGACATCGAAGTACCATGCCTGCCCTGGGCTCTCCCTCCTCAGATCGTCTAAGATTGTACGTACCCCGCGCGTCAAGGACGGAGGCATCTTGAACTTCAACGTTGAGTGCAAGCGTCGGTGAGGCTGCCCGACCGCGCTGCGCGGCATGGCCGACGACTCCGGGAGCGATGTCAGCGATCTCGAGGAGCCGGCGGCGCCCAAGGCGTTCATATTGCGCAAGGACCCGCGGCGCGACGAGGCCGCGGCGCGGGCCAAGGCCGAGGCGACGGCCAAGGCCATGATCGCCGCGGACAAGGAGGCCAAGGTCTTCGAGCGGGAGCTCAAGCTGGGCCGCAAGCTCGAGGAGCACGAGAAGGGCGGCCAGGTCGCGCGGTTGAGCAACGACGAGCTGCGCCAGTACCTGGGCCTCTCCGGGCCGACGGCGAACGTGCCGCGGCGCCGGTCCATCTCCAAGGACCAGGGCGGCCAGATCACGACGGACCTCGACAACGTGCGCCGGGGCATCGCGCCGGCGGACGGCGGGTCCCACGTCGAGGCGCCGTCCGCCGTGCTCAGCGCCGCGGCGACGTTCCTGGAGCTGCGCAAGCAGAAGCGCGACGACGAGGAGCGGCAGAAGCACGCGGAGGAGAAGACGCTGACGCCCGCGATGGTCGAGATGGCCAAGAAGTGGCGGGAGAAGGCGTCGGCGGGCGCGGGCCGGCGCGGGTCGCGGGCGTCTCTCGACTCCCTGCCGGACCTGCCCGAGGGCGCCCAGGCGGGGAGCGGCGGGCCGAGCCGCCGCGGGTCGCTCGGCGACGCCGCCGGCGCCGGCTCCGGCGGCGCGAGCCGGCGCGCGTCCGTCGGGTCCCTCGGCGACAAGCCGCCGCTGACGCTGGCGTCCCTGGCCCTGGGCGCCAAGGCCGCGCGGCGCCTGAGCCTCGGCGGCGGGCGGCGGTCGTCCGTGCGCGACCTCTCGGGCGGCATGGGCCGGCGCTACAGCCGCATGTCCCGCGGGTCCCTGGGCGACATCTCCGGGGACGTGAAGAAGCTCGGGGACGCCGCTGGAGCCCCGCGACTTCTCGAGCCCCGCGACTTCGCCGACGCCGAGGAGCGCGACGCCGAGTTCCTCGAGACGCCGACGCCGCTGCCCGCGGCCGTGCCCGGCTGGGGCTTCCGCGTGGGGCCAAAGGGCCTCGGCTACTACAAGACGACGGCGGAGAAGGTCGCGCCGAAGGCGGTGCCGAAGCAGGCCGACAAGTTCGAGCGGAAGATGGGCTGGGGGCGCCTCGCCATCGCGGCGCTCGAGAACAACAACGTCAAGCAGCTCCGGTCCGCGGCCGCGACGACGTCGACGGGCCTCGAGGAGCTCAAGGTGAACCTGAACATGCGCGTCAAGGGGGGGTCGAGCTGGTACTACGGCGACAAGTACGTGCGCATGGGCCTCGACCCGGAGCCGTTCCCGCCGCGGCCCGGCGACACGCTCCTCCACATGGCGCTCCGCCACAAGCGGTCCACGGCCTTCGTCGCGACGCTCCTCCAGCTCGGCAGCGACCGCAAGATCCGCAACCGCTGCGGCGAGGCCGCCGAGGAGGTCCACCCCCTCGATTTCGCGAGCGCGGAGGACCTCATGGAGCGCTGGCGCCAGGAGAAGGCCATCCACGTCGTCGGCGAGTCGCGCGACGCGAGCCGCGCGTCGACGCCGACGGGGACGAGCCGGGGCCTCGCGCCCGATTAACGACGACCGTGGTGTGACCTTAGATCGCCCTGGAGACGACGTCCCGCGCCCGCGCCTCCTTCCGCGCGGCCGCGGCCGCGGCGTCCGCGCCGCCCTTGAGGGACGCGTGGTGCTTCTTGAGCGTCTCCAGGGGCGACGCGGCCAGCCCGATGGGCGCGTCCTGGCCCCGCGCCGCGTAGAGCGCGAGGATCTTCCCGACGAGGTCGTCCTTCTCGCGCCGCTCCGCGAGCGCGGCCCGCTTGCCCGCGTCGCCGCCGCCGCCGCCCTGGCGCCAGTCGCCGGCGCGCCTTTCCGCGGCGGCGGCCGCCGCCGCGCGCCGGTCCGCGGCGGACGCGTTCGGGTCCGCGCCGCTGTCGCCGCCGAGGCGCGTGCCGCCCGACGACGGCATGTAGCTCGAGCTCCGGAGGCTCGCGGCGATGGCGCGCTCGAGCTCCCGCTCCTCGGCGTCGGCGGCGCGCCGCGCGGAGCACACCAGCTCGCCGCCCGTGTCCAGCGGCAGCGTCAGCGTCTGCGCGTCCGCCGTCAGCATCGCGACGTCGACGCGGAACGACCCGATGCGGTCCGGCGGCGTGATCGAATTCTGGTTCCAGGCCTCGACGAGGAGCTGACCGTCGCCGTCGAGCACGCGCACGCTCAGCTGGCCCAGGCCCTTGGCCGCCCACCGGGGGTTGCGCCCGCCGCCCTTGTGCGCCTTGCAGCGCGCCTCCAGGCCGCTCGGCTGCGCCGTGACCTTGACGAAGGGGTCCATGGAGAACATGAGCGCCTTGTTCTTCAAGTTGGTGGCCTTGACGGCTTCGATGATGATGTAGCCCATCTTTAGCACCTTGTGATTACGCGTCTCCGGTCGTCTCTCTAGCGCGTCTTCGAGGACGTTTCTATGCGCGGTCCATAATTTGCCACAAGCGAAAAAAGTGCACAGTGCTGTGCAACAAACGACCACCTCAGCTGATGGTCGCGTTTGCGCCAGCCATGCGCTGCCTCCTCGTGATCACCGCGGCCGCAGCGCTCTCCACGCGCCCGCGCGGCGCCGCGCGCCGGCGCAGCACGGCGAAGGACGGCACGCTCTTCAGCCGCGGCGCCTACTTCGCCGCGCGCGCGCGGGAGGGCGCCGTGCGCGCCGCGAAGCGCGTCGTGCTCGGCGACGCGCTGTCGCAGCTCGTGCCCGGCGGCCCGCGGGGCGTGGCGCCCGGCGGCGTCGTCGCCGTCACGGGCGCGACGTCCGGCGTCGGAAAGGCACTGGCGGAGGAGCTCGCGCAGCTGGGCTACGGCGTCGTCGTCTGCGGGAGAGACGAGGAAAAAGTCAAAGAGACCGTGCGGTCCGCGGCGCGGCGCGCGGCGAACCCCGACCTCGTGAGCGGCGCGACCTTCGATCTGGAATCGCTCGCGTCGACGCGCGCCGGCGCCGCGGCCGTCGCGGCCGCCGCGCGCGGCCCGCTCGAGGGCCTCGTGCTCAACGCGGGCTGCTGGCCGACGACGCTTCGTTTAACAGAAGACGAGCTCGAGGTCGCCCTGCAGACGAACCACGTCGCCCAGCACCTGCTCTTCCGCGAGCTCGCGAGGACGGAAAAGTCGCTCGCGCGGGTCGTCGCGCTCTCGTCGTCCGCGCACGCGTCCACGAGAAAGGACGCGCTGGACCTCGACGACGCCAAGGAGTGGACGGCGCGGGCCTTCGACCCGCTGGAGAACTACAGCCAGACGAAGCTCATGAACGCGCTCTTCGCGCGCGAGCTCAAGAACCGGCATCCGACCGTCGACTGCGTTGCCGCGCACCCCGGCGTCGTCGACACGGGCCTCTTCCGCGACTTCGACGGGCTGAGCTTCCTCGAGCGGCCGCCGGACCCCTTCGGGGTGCTGCCGGACGTCGACGAGACGCTGGAGGCCCTGCTCAAGGGCGCGTCCGGCGCGCTCCAGGTCGCGATGGACTCGCCGCTCGGGTCGCTCGCGCCGTTCAAGAAGCCGCGCGACGCCGCGCGCGACGTCGCCGCGGGCCTGCTGAGCCCGAGCGTCGAGTCCGGCGCCTACTACTCCGACGGCGAGCCCACGGAGGCCTGCGCCGCGGTCACGGCCGAGGCCGCGCGCGCGCTGTGGGACTGGACGGAGGCGACCGTCGACGAGGCGCTGGCCTACGCGGACGAGGAGGCGGCGGCGTAACACAACGCCGCGTCGTCGCAAAATTTACGCGTAGGGCGTGAAGAGGCAGCCGTAGCCCTTGGGCCGGTTGACGGCGTCGTCGATGGCGCCCGACGGGAGGAGCGCGGCGTAGTAGCCCCCGACGTGGAAGGCCGTCTTCGCGCCGCCGTCCTTGCGCTTCTCGTCCGGGTCGTGGAGCGCGCGGGGCAGCACGCGGCAGTCGATGGACACGCGCGCGGCGCCCGAGTCGTTGGCGACGGTGTAGTGGCGGCACTGGTTGCCCCAGAAGAAGACGGCGTCGCCGTAGTCGACGTCGAAGGCCGCGTAGTCGCCCTCGCCCGGCGCGGACTCGGCGTAGAGCGAGTTCGCCCCCGACGCGCGCGTCACGGGCACCCAGACGTTGAGCTCCGCGGACTGGTGGCCGTAGTCCGCGTCCGTGTGGGGCCGGCCCGTCGGCCGCGGGCTCGGCGTGTGGCAGCGGAAGCTCGGCTCGCGCTGGAAGAGGAGCCCGCCGGCCATGGCGGCGCTCCCGAATTCCGCGCAGACGCGCGACAGCCGCGCCTGGACGACGTCGCGCACGAACCCGACGTAGACCGCGATGACCTCCGCCGCGACGTCGGGCGCGCGGCTCTTCCACCGGCGGATCCACGGCGTGCCCGTGCCGCGCGCGCCGCCGCGCGAGCCCGCGCCCAGCGGCGCGGGCGCCAACGCCGCGAGCGCCGCCGCGCCGCCGTCGCCGCCGCACTCGACGCCCAAAGCTTTGCACACGGCCTCGCGCCAGCGGTGCCGCGACGTGTCGAACTTGACGATCTGCGGCCGCCGCAGGTAGGCCAGGGCCAGCGCGTCGCGCTCCGCGGCGGTGCGCTTCGGCGGCCTCTGCGGCGCGCTGGGCGGCGACGGCTCCGGGTGGTCCTCCTCCGTCGCGTCGCCCGCGTCGGTTCCGTCCTCCCACGGCTCCGGGTCGTCCGTCCACCGGGCTGGGACCTCGTCCTGCCACTCCCTCGCCACGGCGAGGGATGCCGCCATGCGCGTGCCGAGATTTTTGCCAGTTGAGGGTAAGGTTTGCCAGTCGTTGCGCTGCTCTCCGGCTGCCCCCAAGAGACGCTCTCACAACAACGGGAACGTCGTCTTCGTCATTCGGGGCTGGACGTCGTCTCCAGTGGCGACGCATTCGGGGCTGATCGTCGTCTCCGGCCGTGGACACCACGCCCGCCCCACTCGAAGGGCAGACGCCGCTCCCTCGTCCTGCCACTCCCAAGCCCGCCCCTCGAAGACCTCCATGGCCGCCCGCCGCGGCGCGACGCTCGTGCGCGTCGACGTGACGCTCGTCGTCGTCCTCGACGACGCGCCGGCGCGGTCGCTCGAGGTGTCCAAGGAGTTGACGAGCAAGCAGACCGACGACGTGCTGCGGCGCGCGACGGCGCGCGTCTTCCTCGCCGCGGTGGCCCGCGAGGCGCTCGGCGCCGACGCGCCGGACGACGGCGGCGACCGCTACGGCCTCTCCGGCGTCACGGCGCGCGTCGACGACGAGCGCGTCGCGACGGCCGTCGACGTCGACGGCGCGTTGCTCGAGCCCTGGGCGGCGACCTACCCCGCGCGCGTCCGCTACCCGCGCCGCGTCGCCGTCGCGGCCACGGTCCGCGTCGACGACGACGAGCGCCTGTCGCCGCGGCCGCGCCGGGGCCGGCGGCGGCGGCCCCGGCGGAAGAAGGAGCCGCCGCCGCCGGAGAGCCCGCGGAATCGCACGGCGCTCAAGTACGTCGAGAGCCGCGTCGCGCTCGCGTTCACGGGCCTGGGAGCGCAGATGGCGTCCGTCGAGCGCGAGTTGGACTACCACGCGTCGCGCCTCGGCTCCCTCGAGGGCCGCCTGTCGCGCGTCGGCGCCGTTCGCGGGCCGGCGTCGCAATTTTTTCGGAACGGTTTCGCGACGATGCATCCAGGTCTCGCGGGAGCTCGAGCGCGTCAAGGCGCAGTTGGAGCGCGCGCGCGACGACGTCGAGTGCGAGATCGCCAACGGCGAACTCATCGCCAACGACCTGGCCAACGCGGAGCGCGACCGCGACGCGGAGCGCGAGCTCGCCGCGGCGCGCGGCGCGAGCCTGGAGGCGTCCCTGCGGCGGGAACGGGCGCTCCTCGCGGCGTCCCGAGGGAGTTTCGACCGTTGATCGCCGCGGCAGGCGCTGAGCGACGAGCTCGACGCGGCGAAGCGCAAGCTGGACGCGAAGCCGGACGCGGCGACGCTCCTCGCCATGCTCGCGGGCGACGAGACCGCGCTGCCGCAGCGCGACCTCGACGACCTCGCCAAGGGCCTGCCGGCCATCGCCGCGCGGCTGGCGACGGAGGCCGGGCGCCGCGCCGCGCGCGCGGAGCTCGCGCGCGCCGACGACGACGCGACGTGCATCGTGTGCCTGTCGCAGAAGCGCGACGTCGTCTTTTTGACCTGCGGGCACCTCGTCGTTTGCGTGTTCCAGCGTCCTTTTCCGGGCTGGGGACATCGCCATCGCGATAGGCGCGGTCTGCGCGAAGGCGTGCGAGCGGTGTCCCGTGTGCCGCGCGCCCGTCGAGGGCAGCCTGCAGCGCGTGTATACGCCGTAACGTGACTTACGACGAGATCGCGTTGAGCACGCCGGAGACGAGCGCGGGGATCCCGAGGTCCGCGGCGACGTCGTCGTAGGCCGTCGGCGTCGTGTCGCCGCTCTCCTTGACGTAGACGTACAGGTTGCGGTCGCCGTCGCGGGAGATGCGGATCTCGTCGTCGGCGTAGGTGCACGCGAAGACGGGCCGCGGCGTGTCGATGGGCAGCGCGTCCGAGAGCGCGCGCGAGTCGAGCTTCGCGCCCGCGTCCAGCGCCTGGCGGATGCCCGGCAGGTTCGACCCCTTGACCTCGACGTCGCCCATGAGCAGCTCGAGCTCCAGCGACCCGTCGGCCGCGGAGCCGACGCCCTCGATGGACGCCGTGGACACGATGGACCCTAAAACGTTCAGCGGCATCGCGCCGCCGACGCGCATGGGCAACGCCGCGACCGTCGTCTCGAACTCGGAGACGAGGGCGTCCTCGGAGATGATCTGGCGCACGGCGCCGATCTCCGACACCATCGTCGCCTTGCGGTGCATCTCGCAGAACCAGTCGTAGCGCTCGGCCTCCTTGCCGTCCTTGCACGTCGCGCGGCCCGCCATCCAGAAGGGCGACGACCGGAACAGCTGCGTCGAGCAGAAGCCCAAGGACCAGCGGCCCCGCACGTCGTCGAGCGACACGGCGGACGGCCGCGTCGCCTCGAGGCGCGACGCGATCTCCTCGACGTCGTCGTTGAGGTACTCGCTCTTGGCCTGGCCGCGCGCGGACGCGCTCATCTTGATGAGCAGCTCGCGCTTGAGCGCGTCGGCGTCGCGGTCGTCGGCGCCCTGCTCGACGTCGATGACGTCGTCGATGGTGGTCGAGTCCGACGGCGCCTCGTAGGTGGCATCCTCGTCCATGGAGCGCCGGGTGGTGCGCTGCGGCGACGGCGCGCTGCGCGTCAGCGCCGCGTGGCCGCGCGGCGGCGCGAAGGCCGACGCCGTGGCGAGCAGCGCGAAGAGCTGGCTGCGATGCATTTTTCTGTTGTTTCGCGTGCTACTTGGTCGTCGAGCAGACGTCTCGTCGGTCGACAGCTTTTTTTTCCTCTGTCGCTTTGAGACTACGCGGCGTCGAGCAGCGCGTCGTCGACAGCTCGATGCTCGATGGGCGTGACAGCTCGATGCCCGATGGCGTGCCGTTCAACCAAGCGGCATCATCGCTTCATCGTTGGCATCGCCGAAGCGAGGCAAAATATGAGCACTGCCGCGCCGGCGCAAAGGCGCAAACAACCCAAACCGACCGTGACGCCGCCGCGCACGGTCGACGAGTGGGTCGTGAAGAACCTGAACAACGACATCGTCACTTTAGTCATCCTGTCCTGGGAGCTCGGCGTCACGAACGCGTCCATGGCCGTCGTCGACCGCGCCGACGCCTGCGGCTTCGACATGCGCTGCCTGAACAACCGGGGCCAGGCGGTGCACCACCGCGTGACCTACCGCACCGCGCCCTGCACGACGGTCGACGCCGTGAAGAAGGAGCTCGCGGAGCTGCGGGAGCGCGCGTCGCGGCCGCGCTTCCCCGTGACGCCGATGACGGCGTTCGTCGTCGTGATGTGGGCCGTGCTCATCTTCGCCTGGGGCCACAAGCACGGCGTCCACGTGCTCGAGGAGCGCGTCGCGCGCTGGGCCGGGCTCCACGAGGAGGACGTGCCGTCGTCGAAGGAGTTCCTCACGTACTGCACGCTCGGCGTCCTCGCGGCGAACGCCGTCGAGGGCGCCGCCGTCGTCTTCCTCGCGCGCAAGCGCTTCGCCTTCTCCTGGCGGAGCTGCGCGGGCTGGTTCGGCATGGCCCTCGTCGCGGGCTACCCCGTCGCGCAGAAGATGCTCGACCTCAAGTCCGCGCGGTCGCGCGCGCTCATGACCGCCTACCGCAAGATGCAGAAGGGGGACTAAGAGGAAATGGGGTTCGTTTTGTGGGTTGGTCTGGTGTCGTGGGCGGAGGCGAGGTCGAGGGCTCGACGGGGAGCGGTTCCTCGCTGGACGACGAAGACGGGACGGCGGAGGCCGGGGAGCCCGGCTGGATGACGGGCGCGGGCCGCACGGCCGTGCGACACGCGGATGCCGTCGAGTATGCACGACACGGCCGGCTGGCCGATCCCGGCCTCGCAGCCGACGGCGGCGAGCTTGCCGACGCGGCCCTGTGGCGAACGCGAAGGACTTCACCGAGCAGACGGCACGCGCGCGAGAGGCCAACGAGGAGCTCCGAGAACGCCTCTCGCACGAACCGGACCTACCAGGCGACGCCGGGTACTTTGCCGAGTGGGCCGCCCGAGTGCCCGCGAAGCTGAATCCCGAGGACTTCGCCACGGGCCTACGATGCCGTCGTCGGTCGGGAAACGCGTCGATGATGAGCTGGCTCAGGTCGTTCTCGCAGCCCAGAGTGCTGAAGCGTCTCAGCACGCTCTCTTGCCGTGTATAATCATCTCCCGCGATGTTCTTGACGATCTTGACGTCGAACTCGCTCAGCCGAGACTGCGCGCGAGAGAGCCACACGCGGACTCCGTCGGACGCGGCGCGGACCCCCCGGGCGGCCCAAGAGCTCGCGACGACCGAGCCGCCGCTCGGGCGCAAGAGCTGCAACCAGCGCGAGAACGCGCCGGCCATCACCCGCGACCGCGGTCGATGCGATGATGCTGCGCGCCGTCGTCGCATTCGTCGCGTCCGTACTATCCACGCATGCGCTCGTGCCGCACGCGCCGACGTCGCGCGTCCACCGGCGCCTCGCGGCCGCCGACGCGCAGGAGGTCGAGATGCCGGAGCCGCGCGTCGGCGACGTCGTCGCCTTCGCCGGCGACTGGCCCGGCGAGTCCAAGGTCGGCCAGATCCGGTCCCTACAGCCGCGCGGCGCCGCGTGGCTCGCGGACGTCGTGCCGCTGGAGGACCAGGCGAACGACGTCTGGCGGCTCCCGAGCGCCGCGCGCGCGCGGAAGCGGCGCGTCGCCGTCGACGTCGCGGAGCTCGTGCCCCTCGAGGCGACGGCGGCGGGCGAGGACGACGCCTTCGTGCTCGCGCGCCAGGAGACGGCGGAGCCCGCGAGCAAGGCGCTCACGGGCTCGGCCGTCGGGCTCCTGCCCAAGGCCGCGGGGTACCGCGCGCTCGACGACGGCTTCGTGCCCAAGGGCGGGACGCCGAAGCTCGACTACGCCGCGGAGCAGCGCTCCAAGGAGGAGTACGAGGCCCTCAAGGCCCAGCTCCTCGCGGACTCCGCGCTCGCGGCGGGCGCGGGCCTGGTGCTCTCCGCGGCGATCACGCGCGACGTCTCCGACGTCGGCGCCTACGCCGTCGGCGCCGCCGGCGGCCTCGCCTACGTCTTCGGCCTCTCCCAGTTCGCGGACCAGGCCGGCGAGGACAGCAAGCCCCTCCTCGACCTCAGCAAGTACCGGCTCCTGTTCCCCGTCGTCCCGTTCCTCGGGCTCGCCGCGGCGAACGTCGCCGGCGGCTCGACGCCGGGCAACCTGAACCTGGTGCCCTTCGACCAGTTCGTCGCCGCCGCCGCGGGCGTGCTCTCCTACCGCGTGCCGCTCCTCGTCCGCCAGGTCTTCGGCGGGTCCGGCGCGACGGCGGACGACGTCGTCGGCCTCCTCCCCGGATCGCTCGGCAAGGGCGCGCGCGCGGCCGTCGAGGCGCGCGACGCGGCGAAGCGGGGCGACGTCGCGGAGGACGCCGTCGACACGTCGAAGACGGTGCTCGTCGTCTGCGGGCCGCCGGGCGCGGGCAAGACGACGCTCGTCGACCGCCTGCTCGCGGACGACGCGCGCTTCGCCAAGCCCGCGTGGACGACGACGGACCGCGGCGCCGCGGACGGCGACGTGCTCCTCCGCGACGACGACTTCGAGGCGGATCGCGGCGGCCTGGCCGTCGTCTTCGAGGACGACGGCGACGCCGCGACGCTCCTCGAGGCCGCGGCGCCGAAGAAGCGGGGCCTGCCGCGCGCCGCGTTGCTCGACCGCGCGGACGGCCGCGTCGCCCTCGTCGACTGCGACGTCGCGACGGCGAAGCAGCTCGCGGCGCTCGACGGCGCGCGGCTCGTCGGCGTCTGGGTGAGCCTCGAGTCGCTCGACGCGCTCCGGGACCGGCTCGCGCGCGTCGAGGCGGGCCGCGCGGCCGCGGACCCGGCGAACGCGGGCGTCGCGCCCGACGACCTCGCGGCGGCCGTCGCGGCGACGGTGAAGGCGCGCCTCGCGACCGTCGTCGACGACATCGACTTTGGCGTGCGGAGCCCCATGTTCGAGTTCACGATCATCACGTCCGCGCTCGACGAGGACGCGGCCTACGCGAAGCTCCAGCGCGCCGCGGGCTACGTCTTCTAGGATACGCGTTTGCTTAGTACGCTTGGCTTCTTCAGTAGGGCGGCGGCCCGTACTCGTGGCTCTCGGAGAGGAGGATGTCCGCGAGGTCGTCGGACGCGCGGACCATGGCGTCGACGAGGCCCGGCTCCGTGTCGGAGTGCCCCGCGCCCGCGACGTACTCGCAGGCCGCGTTCTCGTCCGGCAGGCCCGCGGCCTTGAGCGCCTTGAGGAGGCGGTGTGCCGCCATGGGCCGGCAGACGTAGTCCGCGCGGCCGTGCGCGACGCGGAGCAGGTGGCCCGCGTCGGCCATCTTTTTCGCGTCCCGCAGGAGCTGGCCGCGCTCCATGAAGCCCGCGCCGCGCATGTAGTGGACCTCCATGACGGCGAAGGGGATGAGCACCGACGGCGTCGAGAGCACGGACTCGATGATCGCCGGGTCGATGAAGCACTTGGAGAGCGAGAGCTCGTAGCCGACGAAGGCCGCGGCCGCCGCGTTCCTCGCGTCGGCGTCGGCGCCGGTGAGCAGGTCCCAGTAGGCCGTGAGCGGGTCGGCCCGCGCGAGGTCCGCGGCCTCGGGCGACGGCGCGGCGTCGACGACGTGCGCCAAATAGCGGTCCCACGCGTCCGGGTTCTGGCCCGCCGTGCCGCCGTCGACGAAGAGGTACTCGACCTCGTCGGCGCAGAAGGTGAAGACGCCGCGCAGGAGCAGGGACCGCACGCGGTCCGGGTGGGCTTGGGCGTAAGCCAAAGCCAGGGTCGAGCCCCACGAGCCGCCGAGCACGAGGCCCCATGTGTCGATCTTGAGCGCCTCGCGGAGCTGCTCGAGGTCGCCGACGAGCGCCGGCGTCGTGTTCTCGACGAGCGACCCCGCCAGGTCGTCCGCGGCGTTCGGCCGCGACCGGCCGCTGCCGCGCTGGTCGAACACGACGATGCGGAACACGGCCGGGTCGAAGAAGCGCCGCGACCGCGCGTCGCAGCCCGCGCCGGGGCCGCCGTGGAGGAAGACGGCGGGGATGCCGGCCTTGTTGCCGCACTCCTCGTAGTAGATCTCGTGGCCCGAGCCGACGGCGAGGTGGCCCGAGGCGAAGGGCTCGACCTCCGGGTAGAGGCTGCGCGGGTAGACGATGGGGCTCGCGACCTTGCCGCTGGCGTCCGAGGCCGGCTTCGCCACGTAGCGCAGGTCCGCCTTCGTCGCCATTGCGCGGACGGCGCGCGCTGCACAGGCGAGTGCGGACAGTCGGAGCATCGTGTGGCAATTGCACCATGTGCCTCACCGGTGATGCACCTTGTCGGCGATCACGGCCTCAACCACCGTCGGGGCTGCTCCTCAAGTTTAAAAACACGATCTCGTACGATCGTATCGTAGAGCTACCAATCTCCTCGCTGGCTGCATAATGCGGATCGCCGCGCTGTGTCTCCTCGCGGCCGCGAAGCATGCGGGCGCGCTGCTCATCGAGGGCTGCGCCGATGAAGAGGGCTTCGTCGACCCCTGGGGCTACGAGTGCGCGGATTGGGCGCGTTCCAGCGTCCGATCGTCCCGCGCGCATCTCGCAGGCTCCTTCCCGCAGGTCGGCTACTCGTGCTACTACTACGACGACGACGCCAACACGGAGCTCCTCGTCGCGGGCTGCCCCATGACCTGCGGCGCGTGCGAGTGCGTCGACACGGAGAACTACGAGGATCCCTGGGGCTACGCGTGCGCGGACTGGGTCGGCTACTCGTGCTACTACTACAGCGACGACGAGAAGACGGAGGAGCTCGTCGCCAACTGCCCCGCGAGCTGCTCGCTCTGCGCCGCGGAGGAGGGCGCGCGGTTTCCCGGGGCGACCTTCGTCCTCACGCTGCCCGTGCTCTACGACGTCCGCGGCAAGCTCTTCCCGAACAACAAGTACGGCACCATGGCCACGGAGGACATGGTCGACGCCGTCTACGGCAACAGCTCCGACGGGTCCGGCGTCTACGGCGGCGTCGCGCGCGCGCTGCGCGCCTTCGACGACCTCAAGGCGGACGCGGCCAAGGCCGTGCTCCCGCTGTCGCTCGGGGGCTTCTTCTACAAGAACATGTGGTGGGACTACGACGGCCTCGACAGCGCGCTCGACGCCTTCGAGCGCTTCGGCTTCGGCGCGACGACGATCGGCCACTTCGACTTCCACTCGTGCGGGACGGACGGAAGCTGCGCGGCGCTCGGCGCGTGGATCGACGGCGTCGGCGCGAACACGTCCGTGCTCGGCGCGAACATCGACGTCAAAGGCGTGCCCGCGCTCAACGGCACGAAGCTGCGGCCCTGGGACGTCAAGCTGGTCAACGGCACGGAGGTCGGCCTCGTCGGCTTCGTCCAGAGCGACATCGCGACGATCTCGGACCTGCCGGACGGCGCGGTGCCGCTCGCCGCGCCGCTCTGGAGCCAGGCGGGCTTCGACGGGGACACGGAAAACACGGACCCGGACGCCATCGCCTACGCCATCTACGAGCTGAAGCAGGCGCACCCGAATTGCGACGTCGTGCTCCTCGTGGGAGACCAGATCGTGACGTCGACGCTCCAGACGCGCGCGTTCTCGAACATCATGCGCACGTACCCCGAGGTCGACGCGGTCGTGGGCAACTTCGCCACGCTCCTGGGGGAGACCACCGCCCCGGACGACGAGGTCATCGGGGGCGCGCTCCACGCCTTCGTGTCCGTGCCGTCGGCGACGTTCGGCGGCATCTCGCAGCCGTCGATGGTCGTCGCGACGCTGAGCTTCGACGCCGACGGCGTGCTGCTCGACGCGGAGACCGAGGAGCTGTTCCTGACGGACGACAGCCCCGTCGACGCGGACCTCTGGGCGTCGGTCTACGCGTCGCACGCGCTCGCGCTCGAGAGCTACGCGGTCGTCGTCGGCGAGGCGGCCGCGCTGGTCGACGGCGAGAAAGGGGGGGCCGACATGCTCGGCGGGTGCCGCGCGAGCGACTGCGGCCTCGGCCGGCTCCTGAACGGCGCCATGCTCGAGGCCTGCGGCGACTGCGACGTCGCGCTGAGCAACGCGGGCGGCCTCCGCGCGGACCTCGGCCCGGGCGCGATCTCGCGCGGCGACGTGCGGACGGCGCTGCCCTTCGACAACACGCTCATGGCCCTGGACATCAGCGGCGCGGGCCTGCGGGCCGCGCTCGCCGTCGCGGCGGCCAAGGCGCCGGACTGGTGGGCCTGCCCGAGCGTCGCGAACCCGACGTGCGCGGGCAACGGCTGCGACGAGAGCGCCTGCGGCCTCTCCGGGGGCCACCTCCAGACGCTGGGCCTGCGCTGGGCCTACAACGCGGAGACCGACGAGGTGCTCGGCGCCGAGGTCTTCGACAACGCGACGAGGAGCTGGTACGACCTCGACGACGACCGCACGTACCGCGCTGTGTGGAAATCAACCAGTGGAACGCCCTGTCCAGCAAAAACTTCAAACCTCTCTATCTCGATCAAATCGAAGTCGATTCGGCTGATTTTTGGACGAGTCGATTGCTCTCGTCGAGTTCTCGAAGCACAGTCAAAGAGCTCGCATCGAAACTGTCGCATACGCGCACATTGAATTCGGATTGAAGATTTGATTTCCACACAGGTACCGCGTCGCGACGAACTCGTACCTCGCGAACGGCGGCGACGGCTACGCGCCGCTCCCCGCGTACGGGTCCAACCAGGTCGAGCTCGCCGGCGGCACGCAGTCCGACGTTTTAGGCGCGGCCTTCGAGGACGGCCGCTTCCCGAACCCGCTCCCGGACGGCTACCGGCTCTTCGACCTCGACGGCGGCGACGGCCTCCGGGCCTGGAGCCGCAACTCGTCGGTCCTCGCGGCCTGCCTCGCGGACCCGTCGAACGGCGGGCTCACGCCGGCGGACGTGCCCGCGCGCGCGTCGCCGTGCACGGCCGTCTCGAGCGCGCGCACGCTCGCGGACTACGCGCCGCCGCCCCAGGACGTCGTCGTCGCCGTCGCCGTCGCCACGGAGGACGAGGCGCGCGCGGTCCGCGACGCGCTCGCGGACGTCGCGGGCGACGCGGCCACGCTGCCCTACACGGAGCTCTGCGCCGTGATCGAGGTCGGCAACGCGTCGGACCTCGAGGCGCTCCTCGCGCGGTCCGACGCGACCTGCGCGGGCTCGCTCCGCGCGCCGACGGGCGCCGCCGTCGCCGCGATCGCGACGCCGCCCGCCGCCGCCGCGGCGTGGCTCGAGCCGTCGACGGCGCTGCCGCGGGCCGTCGTGCTCTCCGACGCGACGGCGGAGGCCTACCTCGACCGCGACTCCTGGCCCTACCTCTCCCTCGTCGCGCCCAACGACGAGGACGTCGCCGCCGCCGTCGACGCGCTCTGCGCGGCCTACGACTGGTCCGCGGCGCTCGTCCTGGCGACGGCGGCCTACGAGGACGCGTTTCGCACGTTCCTCGCGACGACGGCCGTGGACGCGACGGCGGTCGCGCTCGGCGACGTCGCCGCGGACGCGCGCGCGGCCCTGGAAGCCGACGCGACGAACGTCGTCGTGATCTTCGCGGCCGCGGCGGACGCGGCCGCGGTGCTCGCGGAGGCCGCGGACCTGGGCACGCTCGCGGGCTACGCCTTCGTCGCCGTCGACGTCGACGAGGCGCTGGCGGCCTACGAGGGGGTCGTCGCCGTCGCCTCGCGCTACGACGCGGCGGACCGCGCCTACGACGCGACCTACCTCCTCGCGCGCGCGCTCGGCGCGCTCGCGGACGACTGGTCGGCCCGCGCGCTCGCCTTCGACAGTTTCGCCGCCGCCGCCGACGACGCGGCGCTGCTGCAGACCTACGTCGCGAACGCGCGCGTCGCCGGCGGCCGCACGGGCGACGTCGACCTCGACGCGAGGAACCGCCGCGTCGCGACGCTCGCCGCGTCCGTCGCGCTCCCGGACGGCGGCGGCTTCGACGAGTTCGCCGCGTGGACCGACGCCGACGGCGTCCGCTTCGACAAGGCCGTCGGCACCTGGCCGGGCGGCGCGAGCGCCGCGCCGGCGAACCCGACCTACAGCTGCGCGCCGGGCCTCTACCTCGAGGAGACGGCCTGCCTGCCGTGCCCGGCGGGCACGTACCAGCAGCTGCCCTCGAACGTCGGCGGCCTCGCGAGCTGCCTCGAGTGCGACGCGCAGTCCTACAGCGAATCGGCCGGCGCGGCGACGTGCGATCCGTGCGGCGACGAGGCGGCCATCGCGGGCCTCGCGACGGGCTCGTCCGCGCGCGGCGCCTGCATCTGCGGCGCGGGCTCCTACGCCGCGGACTGGCCCCTGCCGGAGGAGGGCTGCCGCTCCTGCCCGGACGGCGCGCGCTGCGCGGGCGGCATGCTCTTCCCCTACCCGGAGCAGGACCGCTGGATGGCGGCGAACCCGAACCTGCTGTCGCGCGACCAGCGGTCCAAGCTCGAGACCTACGCCTGCCGCGGCGTCACCTGCGACGGCGGCGACGAGCCCGTGGCCTGCGTCGAGCCCCGAGCAGGAAAAGAGAGCGACATTCCCAACGTCAAAGGCTCCTCTCCCGGCCGTTTCCCACTCGTTTCGGCTGATTTCTGGACGAGCGATCATCTCTCGGAGCGCGAACTTCAATGGCTCCTCTCCCGGCCGTTTCCCACTCGTTTCGGCTGATTTCTGGACGAGCGATCATCTCTCGGAGCGCGAACTTCAATGGCTCCTCTCCCGGCCGTTTCCCACTCGTTTCGGCTGATTTTTGGACGAGCGATCATCTCTCGGAGCGCTCTCGAAGCGTGGGCGCTTTTCCGGAACGCGCGCGCGCGGAACACTCATCTCGAATCACTCTTTTCCTGCCCAGGTCGAGGCCTACGCGGCCGCGCACGGCGGGTCCTGCGTCGACCGCATCGGGGGCGCCGTCGCGCTCGGCGGCGAGCCCGAGGCGCTCGCCGAGGGCTGGTGCGCCGAGGGCTTCGACGTGAACAACCCCTTCTGCGAGGAGAACGTCGACGGCTACTACTACGTCGACACGTTCGCGACGGAGTGCGCGTCGTCGGCGTCGGCGCAGGACCTCATGACCGCCGCGAGCTGGCTCGTGCTCGGCCTCTTCTTCGTGCTCATCAACGACTACGTCCGCGCGGACTACCCGGCGCTGGACCTCGTGCTCATGGCCTACCAGGACGTCGGCATCGTCGCGGGCTTCTGGTTCGCGTGGCCCAAGGCGCTGAAGACGCTCTTCATCGTCTTCACGATCGCGCTCTTCGACGTCGACATCTACGCGCCGACGTGCACGTTCCCCGGCTGGGGCAACTGGCACGTCTCGGGCCTCATGCTCTGCCTGCCCGTGGCCTACGGCGGCCTCCGCTTCGCCAAGTGCGCGCTCCGCGGCGGCGGCGCCGAGAGCCGCGACGAGGCCGTCGGGTCCGCGCTCGCGTTCCTCGTCGGCTCGCAGGCGTCGCAGATCAAGTACTGCCTCCAGGTCTTCTCCTGCCGCACGGTCCAGGGCTTCGGGTCCATCCTCGTCGAGTCCGTCGGCGACGCCTGCGACGCGGCGGACGCGAGCCTCGCGGCCTGGCGCGTCTTCATGGCGCTCTACCTCGCGGGCGTCGTGCTCGGCGGCACGCTCGCCATCGCGCTCCACCTCTGGCGCGAGCGCCGCGGGAACCGGCTCTGCGCGCCCGCGAACCTCGCGCGCTTCGGCTTCCTGTACACGTGCTTCCGCAGCGACTGCCTCTACTGGGGCGTCGTGCGCCTCGTCAAGCAGGCGCTCCTCGTCGCGATCCTCGTGCTGTCCTGGGACAGCCCCGCGGAGCAGGCGCTCGGCGCGACGGTCGTCTTCGCGGCGTCGGCGTCGCTCGAGGCCTGGGTCGAGCCGAACCTGAGCCGGGGCATGAACCAGATCGAGATCGCGGGCAACGTGTTGGCCATCGTCGCCGTGCTCCTGGGCCTCGCGTTCACGGGCGCGGACCTCCGCGACGCGCACGAGGCGCGCTTCGTGCGCTACTTCTACGCGTCGCAGGCGCTCTTCCTCGTCGTCGCCGCGCGCGAGACGGTCCACGACGCCGTCGCCGTGTCCACGCGCAAGCGCACGCAGCGCGCCATCGCCCGGGCCGCCAAAGCGGCGACGGGCGCCGCGCGGGGCGCCCGGGCGGCGGCCGGCGACGGCGCCGAGCCCTCGCCGCGGACGCCGAGCCTCGCGGGCGCCTACGCGAAGCTCCGGACGTCCATCAGCCAGCCCGGCGCGGACCCCGCGGGCATGCCCAGCGTGCGGAACCTCGAGATCCTCAACACCTTCGTCGCCGACGCGTTCCACGGCTTCGTCGACAGCTGGCGCCGCGACGCGCGCGACACCGTCGAGCGCGAGCTCCGGGACCTCTGCCGCCTCAACGCGGACCTCGAGCCCTACGTCGCCGACGACGCGCCGACGAACAACTTCTCCAACTCGCACACGGCCATCTTCTACCGCGACCTCGAGCGCGCGGCGCCCCACCTCGTCGACGTCCTCGTGACCTGCGAGCCCCGCGAGCGCCACGCGCTGTCGCGCGCGCTCCGGCTCCTCGAGCGCGAGTTCACGACGACGAGGCGCCTCGGCGTCGAGCCCTTCGCCGTCGCGACCGTCGAGCCCATCGACCGGTCGAGCGTGCTCTACTACCTCCTCGTCGCCTCGGACGAGTCCGTGGACGTGCTCCGCCACCTCTTCCTCCGCCTCGTCAAGTCGAACGCGCGCCTCGGCGCGACGCGCGGCACCGTGCAGCGCTTCCTCGCGGCGGAGATCCTCCAGCGCGCCTTCCGCGCGGCCCACGCGCGCGCCGCCGCGCGCCGCCTCGGCACGTCCGTCGCGCTCGCGACGGCCCAGTTCGCGCGGAACAAGAACGACCGCGGCCGCCTCCCGGCCTTCTACCGCCCGGAGTCCGCGCCCGCGGTCCAGGCCAGCGCCGTCTACGCCGCCGCGGACCTGGACGAGAAGGACCGGAGCTTCTCCGACGGCGGCGGGGCTTTCGGGCTCGCGCCCGCGGCGGCCGCGGACGAGTACGCCGCCACCATGTGCGCGTGCACGGAGTACGCGTAGGCTCTTCGGGGAGCCGGCTAATGTTAGAAGGCGGGCGGCGGCGCGCCGGGGGCTAGGCGTTGCCCGCGGTGTCGTCGGACGCGGCGCTGGACCCCGGCCCCTGGTGGAGGTGGAAGAGGTAGGCGCGGTCGAGGCCCGCGACGAGGAACGTGGGCTCCGTCGGGTGGCTGGCGACGTGGAGCACGCGCTTCCGGAAGTCGACGGCGTCGTGCGCGGGCCGCGGCGGCTTCGCGTGCGACGGCGTCAGCGGCATCAGGTTCGGGTCGCCGGCGACGCCGTGCGACACGCCCGAGAGGTGTCGTCGCCAGGCGCTGGGCGGGCTCGGCCCGGACGTCGGGCAGAGCGCGCCGCCCGCGTCGGCGCGCAGCGCCGCGCCGAGCGGCGGGTCCGCGCTCGCGGCCGCGAGGTCCAAATCGATCTCAACGCTCCGCCCCGCGCCGTCGAAGACGTGCGCGGCGTCGCCGTAGGACCCCGTGACGACGGCGTCGGCGTCGCGGCCCGCGGCGACCTCGAACTTGTCGAAGATGCAGTCGCTCTCGTAGAGGTCGCAGAGCCGCGGCCGGAGGTGCTCGTGGACGAGGATCGTCTTCAGCGGCGCGCGGTCGGACCGGCAGTCCCAGACCTTGACCGAGAGGAAGTCGCGGCTCACGACGAAGCGGCCGTCGGGCGAGAAGCGCGCGTCGGAGATGGAGCTCACGATCTCGGAGAAGAAGGACTTGGTCGCCGCGTCGTCGGCCGGGCCGTCGTCGAACGCGACGCGGTGCCGGTCGCACCGCGCGCCGTCGCGGAGGTCGAAGAGCTTCATCGTGCCCTTGGACGACGCGTAGAGGAGCACGGCGCAGTCCACGGGGTGGAAGGCCGCCGACGTGATGACCTCCGTCAGGTCCTCCATGTTCGCGGGCTTCAGGTCGACGACGTTGAACGCGCGGTCGTCGACCTCGAGGTTCCACAGGTTGATCCGCAGGTCGTCCGCGGACGCGAAGTGCTCGCCGTCGCTGTTGACACTCACGGAGTTGATGTGGTAGGCGTGGGCGTTGGCGTAGCAGCGCGCCGGCGTCGCCGCCATGGCCCGGCCGCGCGGCACGACGCGCGGCACGCGGAGCCGGCCGCCCCGGCCGCGGAACCCGGGCCCGTTGAGGTCGCCGACGCCGTCGACGCGGCGCTCGTGCACCTTCCAGAGCTTGATCGTCTTGTCGTTGGCGCTCAGCAGGCGGCAGGACCGCCGGCCCAGGCCGCGGCAGAACCGGATCTGGTTGATCTTCTCCTCGACCTCGAGCGACTTGAGGTAGTCGAACTCGGGGTCGTGGCTCTTGAACTCGCAGAGCGGCGCGTAGCGCGGGAGGCGGCTCGACTCGTCGCGCTCGAAGATGGCCACGCGGCCGCCCCGGTCGCCCAGAGCGACGAGGCCGCCGTCGCCGTCAAACTCGACGGTCGTAATCGCGTCCGCGTCCGCGTTCGCCTCGACGCCGAGTTGCCTGGCGGTGACGCGCGTGTCGCGCGCGCGCGCGCGGGCGGCGGGCGCGCGGCGTTGTCGCGCGCCGCGCGGGGCGGCCCCGGCGCGCCCCGCCCCGGGCCCCGAAGATCAGGCGCCGCGGCGCGCGGGCTCGCGAGGCACTGCTCGAAGCTGCAGGAGCAGGCAGCGCCCTCGGTCCCGAGGTCCTCGTAGGACGCCATGGCGCCCCGCTCGCCGCCCGCGCCGCCGCGAGGGGTGGCTCGCAGTGGTCAGCGCGACGAGGCACCCATGTCCACACCCTGCCAGGCCTGAAACTGGATACCGGGCTAACGTTTCGTAGCTGCCGGCGGTCGTCGCGAACTTGAAGGGCGGCGAGAAGAGCAGCTCCGGCTCGTCGGCCGCCGGCGCCGGCGCCGGCGCCGGTTCCGGCCTAGCGCGCTTCGCCGGCGGCGGCGACGCGGGCTCGAGCTCCGCGAGCTCCCAGCGCCGCGTCGGCGCGGCGGCGGGCGCCGTCGACGGCGTTGTCGGTGTTGGTCGTTGTTGTTGTGGCGTCGCTGGTGAATGGTTGGTGCCGTAGTAGTAAAGGGTGGACTTGGCGTAAATTTCGCGTAAAGACAGCTGCAGGCGCATCTTTTCCTTGGCGTCGTCAGAGGCCATCGCGGCGTGCGGGGCGCGTGCGAAGGCGCCGGGTGCGAAGGCGCGAAGTCGCGCGGCTGGTGCGAAGGCACGCGTCGAAAGGCGCAGCGGGCGGGCGGCGGCGGATGGCGCCTCGCGTTTTGACTCGCGAGTCGACCGGCGGCTGAGCCCGAGGCAAGACGATCGAGACGCGCGCCGTCACCCGTGCGCGGCCATCTTCGACCGCAGCGTCAGGTTATTCGGCCTCGGGGGTGGTAGGCTCTTACGCGAAGTGCGGCGTGTCACGGTGCGGAGGGGTTTCCTAGGGGGCACTCTCGTGGGGCCGCGCCTCTTGGGTCTTGGGGCGCCGAGGCCTCTAGAGGGCCGCGGGTCGCCGCGTTGGGCGCGGCCTTGATCTGCTCCTGGGTCTCGACGATCTCGTCGGCCGTCGAGATGCGGACCTGGATCTCGTAGACGTGCGACGCGGCGAGCTGGAGCGCGGGCGGCGCCGCGTTCGCGCCGCGCTTGCTCGCGGGCCGGGAGCCGTAGGGCGCCGCCTCGAAGTCGACGTCGAACCTGCCCGAGAGGCCCTCGGTCTGCGCGCCGCGGCGCTCGCCGAGCACCACGAAGGCGACGTCGAAGCTGTGTCCGAGAGGCCTCGATGCCGTCGGTCGTCTCCCAGACCGTCGGCGCGTCGGCGCAGCCGTCGACGCCGATCTCTTGGGCCTGGCCCGCAGGACACGCGGCTTCTGGGCCGCGCGCCGCGGTGGTCGTGGGTCTCTGACGCGCCGCCCTCTCGGAGAGTACCAGATGCGGCGCTGGTCCGAGTCAGTCCCCAGTGCTAGCCCGCATTTGCAACGCCATGTCTTTCCTTTTTTCGAGGGCTACACATTCGACCAAGCACGATGCGCTTCAGCTCGCGCTCATGCTGCGCCTCGGGAGCGACCGGTCGATGCTGTTGTCGGTCGAGATGGGCAGCCAACTCCTCTGCGCGCAAACCCTCCACCGCACTTCACGATGCCGCCAAAATCGGCTCGACGGGATGAGCTCATCGAGGCAACGAGCACTGCCTTACGCAGCGCCGTGATGGACAGCTCATCGTCCTAACGCGCCGCCATGCTCGGCGACCGCCCGCGCGTAGACGCGGCGACGCTGTCCAAGGCCGACAACGAGATGCTCTTCGTCATGTCCTATGAGTGTCGCCGCGTGGGTGCGCGGGGCAGCCGCGGCAAGAAGAGCAAGTA